GATTAAAATTCTAATAATTTTGAATTTATAATTCATTTTTATTATAGGGCTAAGTTGATAATGTACCTTTATGGAGTATTATAATTTGAACTCATTTTTTGTCAGTTAAGTTCAAGATATTAAAGGTCATATGTTTTACATGATCATTATAATATCTCATTTCGTATTAAAATGCAAACTTTTTAGTTTATTATTAATTTAACTTTCATAAAATTAAATGGTATAACTCTATAATAATATTTTATTATAGATGTCTATGCTTACAACTAAAATATGGTAAATAATATTTTGTATAACATTGGATTTTGTCGTGTTGAAACTACTAACATTAGTTTCACTTTTATTATGTAGGCTTTTGTTAAATGTTTGTACAGATTGGACCCTATTTGATTTTAGTTTAGATTTTACTGCGAACATTTCTCTTGCTATCTGTATAATTGACTTTCATTTAAAATATATTAAAAATGCTTACTATAGTTAAATTAGTCATTATAAACCAGATAAATTATAATCTAAATTTATCTAAGTTACTAATTAATAAATATTAAGCATCCTTCTATGTATAGTCAAAGAAATATTAATAATAAATATAATAACAATTTATAACGATAATGCTTATTTAATATGAATGTACAAAGAATCAAATGAACAGTTAGATTAACTGATTTTACCATTTTTTGAATGACTAACCTATTTGTTTTAGAACTATAGTAAAATATATAATTACAATATTGTTTTTTAAATTGACCAGCTTTGTTAAACTTCAATTACCAATCTAAAGACTAATTTAGGTAATCTAATTACTGGCAATTCGATGACTTCAAAATACAAAGTTATCAAGTGGGAGTCGTACCTAAATAATATTGTGTTGTCCACTTCTCCCCGTCTTATAAATTAACGCATGATATTATTGCAAATTTTAGGTTCAGAAAATTCTAATTTACTCTAGTTGTTTCATTTTTATATAATAGTAAATTAACCTATTATTAAATATAAGGGTTAATTTATAGGTATTATCTAGGGATCCACGAGAGCTGAATATGAATTTTTAGTTTTAATGGGACTTGTGCGCATTTTAAAATATATGATTTTTTTGTACGTTTTAAAATATTCATAACTTTCATCAAAATTAAAATATGGTAAAGTGGGTAACAGTATGCTATATTAGGTGTCTAGAAAAGTCATTGTAACGGATGTGTTAAATTTGTATTCAATGATATTATTATATTAAACATTTTTTACATTTTTTCACTACAAAATAATTTTCAAATTTTGTCAAAATCAAACTTTAAATGACCCTAAAAAAAACTTGGGCGTTATATGTTTTTTTAAATGTTTTATTAAACTGTCAAGCTTTTGACCCAATGAATACAATTTTATTGACATTCATAGAAAACACATTTAAATAAAAAAATTGAAAATATTAAATGTCTGTACAAACTTTAAAATGACAGTCGAAATATATATTTCGAAAATTTTAAAACTATAAAACAAAGATTGTTAGGATTTGTTGGGAGGTTGTTCCAATTGGAGAAATCTAGCATTGGATAGAGAAGGATGGAAGCTTGGTTGTGAGACAGGATGGTCTTAAAGGCCCAATAACCCCCCCCCCCCAAAAAAAAAAAAACAAAGATTGTAAATTAGGTAGGTAAGGCTAGGTTAGGTTAGGTTGATTGAACGCCTGCTATGTGGGAATTATTAAATAATAGTTTGTAAGCTAAGATCATACGCGTTAATTTAATTTCATAGACTATCTATAATTGTTAGTACTTTTGAGTGAATATCGAGTAAAGTATAAGATAAATAATAATGTTAACATGATCATAGTTATTTTCGCATATAAATCGTTTGTTTAGTGATTAAAGTTTAACCCATTGTGAAATACGAACTTAAAATGTTTCATATAGTACTATCTCATACAATTTCTACGAAATAAAATATTGTAACATGTGAGTAGTATGTACATTTTTTTCGTATAATATTGTTCAATGATAGATTATACAAACAAGTTGCATAACACAAGCTTAAAAAACTTCTAAATTATAACTGTTATAGTGAGTATTAAAGTGTCTATAACTTAAAATTGATTGGTTCTCGATTTAAATTAGAATATGATTTTTATTTTATTGTAAATTTAATATTTAAATTGGTATTATTTTTAAAAATCATTTATTTTAATCATTGTTTATGATCAATTACTATTGGCTTTTTATAGTGGACTTCATATTTTTTTAAAAAAAATACTCGTATATTATTTTAATTTACCATAAAATAATGAATTTCATTCAAGACATTTTTAACACACTTAGATGTCCAAAGTTTCTTAAAATTGAATTTTTTGCACATTTTTGTTCTAGTGTTATAAATAAACCGGCCTTTAAACTTGATGAAAGTAAAATATTAAAGGATTTATTTTAGACATACAAATCCGATACTTCGACTGAGTTTGACTATAAATCATTAACAGAATATTTTATGAATATCATAATTCATAATTAAACGAGTTAGTTTTTACGGTTTTGTTTTTAATTAAAACCATCTACTTTCAACAATTATTCATATTTTATCTTAAGGTACCTAGGTAGTCAGTCAAAGTATCAATCGAGTACCCAATTATTATCATTATTTTGTATTTTTGTCTGTGAAAAAATCATAGCGTCGACACAATTATTTAAACTACTGTTCATTTACAAGTACTATCGAGAGCGTATTGCTGATGCGATACGAAATAAATTATTATAATGTACTCTTCCACTGTATACCTATTACATATTATCATGTTTTATCTGTTAAGTTTAAGCTGAATAGCTATTTTCAGCGACTAACAGCAACACTTAAAATCCTCGAGAAACTCAATGCGTGTATTTCTGTTGTTTTTTTTTTCTGTTTTTGCTATTGAACTCAAGTGTTACAATTAAGAACGAAACATTTAACTCAAAATAATATGTGCTCAGGTCACTGGGTTGTTCAATTTTTACGCTCTAAATACTACGGTTGTTATATTATTTTATTGTTTCAAAAACATGGATTATAATGTAGGAACCTAGGTATAATATTAACTTTTAGTGAAGGTATAAGTGAAAATACAATTTATTTCATTATTGATATAAAAGTTTAAAACAAATTATACATATTTAAACATTTAATTTTAATGTTGCATAGTTGACATAGCGTTTTATATATTTTATACTTTCTATAGTTTCATTATTTTGTAATAATCATTACTTTAGTGCTATTTATTAATACTGTTTATACTTAATTCGTAGAACTTTCAATTCGAATTTCAGTTAATTAGAAAAATTAACAGAATAAATTTCATTAGTGTTTGACACTAAACAAAACGTCGCAGTTATTTAAAATGTATTTGCAATTGGTGTTAGGAGTTTTTAGTTGTGTTACCATTTAATAAAAAATAAAAATTGCTCTTTGTTTTCTTATTCGATAATAACATTACACTTTTAATATTATTATAGTATGCATTATTACAAAATATTATTCTTCATGTTATTATAATCACGTACAAACGTGTTTATTATAAACATACATAATGTTGCCTTCTTTGTGTATAGTTCATAATTATATATACAATAGTATTGTATGTAGAATATGGGAAAAATATAATTTGTGTTTCTATAATATCTGTATAATGTATCGAAATTATTCAGGTTTGAGAATATGTTTAGCTGTAAAATAGATGATTTAAAAGTAAAATATGTGATAATAATAAACAGTGAGTACAATTTTTACATTTTCAAAGGATTATTTGACCTTTGACGGACGAGTGGTTTTATGTTAATCGAATCCACCCACGTCCAAAGGTCTTTTCAGTCAGAGAAAAGTGTGTGAATTCGAATACGGGTACTCCATAAATGTAAATGGTAAATCTATAAAAATAAAGCGATAGTGCAAATCTAAACTTGAACCGTAACCAGTATAACCACGTAGGATTTTATAGTGTTATAATAGTTTCGAATATGCTGTTAAAAAAAACATGAATCATATACCACCTGTTTTTGACAGAAAACCCAATTAAAGTTTGAGTCAAACCAATCATATAATATCACAATAAGTTGTTTTTTCTATAATATACCCAATAAGACCACCTGTATAATAATACCATGATATCATTGTCATGCCACCTCTAACAGCGGCTGACGATAAAATCAATTTCGAGCATTTGTCACGCGACGCTGAGATCAAAATAATATCTCTTTGTCGGTGTATCGAATACAAATAATCTTTCGATAAATAACAATGTAAACATCCGGTAGAGGTCAACAAGAAAATCACATATTTTGCACGTTTCGTACACCACATTATAGGTAAAGAAATACCATGCATCATCCGAAAGTGGTTTCCTCGTTCAGCGTACTCTGTCGCCGGCGCCCTTCCATACGGTTTTCGATCCCATCGAACGGTCCATTACAATATCAATCTGTATAATATGTATTTATAAATGATCATTATTATTATTATTATTATCATTAATACCCATTATTATTATCATCATCATTAACTCTATTATTATTATTTATTACGATTATTATTATGACATTGTTTTCACTGAACTATTTCGCTCAGATAACGCGTAAAAGCAAGTGGTGGCAGTGGTGGTGGCAGATGGGTAACGCGTATATATATAAGACAAAAAAACGGACCGGTCACTCAATGCGCACACCTTAGTTGTGTGTTCAACATGTTATTATTGTAGACCGACCTCGCAATATTCAGTTCGTGTCCTGTCTGCTGCTGCTCATAAGCTTCTCCTGCCGAAACGACCGGTTTTCGCTTATTCCCTCTCAGTAGTCCGTTTATTTCGGTTTCATTTCAGATTTCTGAGTGGTCTCCTCGATTAACATTCCCGTTCGATCCGATTTCAAGTACGGTCGCGAAGTTCGTATTTTTCGTGTGCAATAAATCGTATTTAAATACACGTACAGACTTTAAAGTTTGTAGTCCCACAGTTAACGGTACAAGTTGGTCGTCTTCAACTTCAGCACATGTCGGTCCAGACTACAACACAAAACATGGACAATACGGAAGCGTGAGTGTGACACAATGTTATTTTAATCAATGCATTTTTTTCTCGTCGTAAAAGACTATCATTCAGATAATTTTTCATTCGTTTGAAAGCTAAAAAAAAAAGAAAAAAAAGTCATACATTATCCACCCATACGTTTCATAATAATTTTATTTTTTATTGTTAGGTATTCTTCCGATCGAATATTTTATTCGCCACTATGTCTTTATTTTGGGTTTTGTTTTGATCGACGTTATTTTGTAATAATACATGTCAAGTTTAAAGGGCTGTTGTGTGTGTGTGTGTGTCAACGTGTTTATACCAAAACTCCGCAGTCGAGCGATGTGCGGGTGATGATATCTGATTGGCGCCGAAATTTCACTGATAAATTATTTGTTTTTTGAATACCGTTTGGATTGCTCTACAACATTCGTGTGTTATTGCCACGTACATTATTCATGTGTGTGTACATGTGTATAACATCATAAATCAAACGTAGAACTGTGAACCAATGTTATCGACTTTGATGAAATAATATAATAATTGTTACACTAACCTTCAATAAATCATTAACGGGAATATGTGATAACTTTAATATACACTGTTACTGTGTAGACATCCAATATGACTGATCATAATATAATGTTATTGTGTTTATGCTCCTAGTTGTGTAAGCTTTGTTCGTTATTAGGTGGGTATTATTGTCTAGAACATACTATAGGTTGCAATAAAATCCAAAAAAAATCTAGTTTCTTGTATCAGTATAACGCGAAATCGATTTTTATTTAATTTACAGTCGTCTGCTGTCATAAGATAGGCCATTATTAAAAGGATTAGAGAAACCATGAGAGCGATCGAAAGATTACTTCAAGGGGTGAAAAGGGTGAAGGAAACGATAAAGTAGACGGAAGGGCCTGAAATTAAAATAAAAAAATAAAAATGCAATAAGCGGGAAACTGCAATGTCCACATACTTGTAAAAATAAATATAATACGGGTATATCCACTAGAAGAGTGAAGTCCTTATAACATATCCTCTTCGGCACTGCTTAGTGGGAAAACGTTGAAGAGTTAAAAAAAGAGCATCATTTGTATCCTTTCTAAAAAACTTTTGAGATCCACCACCCTAGCAATCCAATACAAGGCTCGGCCCGGGGATAATAGTTTTCACGAGTTGTTCAACCAAAATCGAAATAATCTTTTATGGGCTTTTTTAAATTGTGGCACACAGAGGTACACGTAGACACGTTAATAACTTAAGAGTACAGTTATGATCATAATATATAGTCATTATATGCGTAATCAAACAGTTCTTTTAATGAACATTTTAAGGTACAAATAAAAAATAATAACGTGAACATTAATTCTTTCTAAAAAGCGGTGGTTGTCAAAAGGTCGTATTAAGTGCTACTGAATGATCGTCGAAGTCACAAGTCCCACAGTTGATAAAGTGAACTCGAACGAATGGTGCCATATATTTTATCAGTGAAGGTAAAGCTCACATTTTTTCTTAAGCCGTTCGTCACTGTCCTACGGATATTATGACTTATTGTTTTTATTTTTTTACGTATTTTGGAACTAAGAAAATCGAAAAGGAATACCGAGAATTACTAAAAGTTTATTGTAGCCACTGAAAGTTTATCGCTACCAAATTGAGTGAAAAATTGTCTCTTTTATTCTTTAAAGTTGATATACAAAAAGTTTAAAACTCTTAACGGTTAAAACCCAATTTCGAATGTCATATTACAAAGAGATTTGTGAAACGTTTTGACAACGTTCCATGTAAAAAACTGTTTTTGACAGCATCGGCTTTATTTTATAACATAGAATAAATTGCTATTTTTTCTTCATACAATAGTTATTGAGATGTTCACAGCTGCGAATGTATAAGTTTTGGATAACGCCTCGTAATGATTATACATTTAACAACAAATACATTTTTTCTAAAAGCGCCAATGAAAGCCATATTAAACACACTTGAAATTTTTGAAAAACGATGTTCCAAATCCAAAATATTATAAACATTCGCTTAAGTTGAACAAATTAAAAGTTTAAAATAATGGTAAAATTTGATCTGTGTAAAAATTTTATATAAAATATTATAAACTGCTTAATATAAAAATATAAATTTACATACATCAACGTAGACAAACTTACAATGTGTGTATGCGCTTACCAGCTTAAAAAAATGTTGATACTGGCCGAACTATAAAGTATGTACCCAACATAGGTAATATCATAGTCATTAACATTTCAAATTATGGGTATAATAAAAAAAAACATTTGATTTTTAAGGGAATAGTTTCGTTGAGAAACTTATCCAGCCAGTATATGAGAACATTTCGAACAACGAAAATTTTCGAATCCTCCATAGGTTCTCCCATATTTTCGTTGAAAAACCAAACAAGTCGGTTTTAAAAACCAAATTAAATTGAAGTATATCCGCTTGTATTACCTCTACATGGCCTTCTGCGTACCACCAGTGGTGCTACGGTTTGAGAATCCCTGCAATATTACATCACTAATAAATAATTTGAAATTATGATCACCATCGTCGTCATATAATAACATAGTAATCGGGTATATGTCCACAGATCGTGTCCAAAATGCGTGTTCGACCGCCTGCCACCGGAAATGATCCGGTTCATATTCCGGAAGCAGTCCACTGACGATCTTCTGCAGGCGTCGGCCACCACCGACCGATTGTACCGGGTGGCCCAGCACCACATGTACTCGTCGGAACGAGCGCTGCTCGTGCGCGGTGGCCAAGACACGGCGGCCACGGTGACGCGGACGTTTGACGTGCGGAACGTAAAGTCGCTGTACCTGGTGGATGTGTACGACTTTGACCGGGACGTGCCCCGGCAACTGAGGCGGTGTGACGACACCGGCGAAGACGCCGGTGATGAAAGCGGTGAAGACGTCAGTGAAGGAGTCAGTGAAGACGGTGACGAAGACTGCGGTGAACATAGTGACGACGACGATAACGAGCGTAGCGATGGTGATAAATTTGGCCGAACCACGTCACCCGCGTTGGAAGTGTTGCACGTGGGTTACGGTCGGGACGTAAACTACGCAGATCTACCGGTCGAAGGTCTGCGACGGTTGTTGTCCGCCGTCCGCGCCCGTCGAGTGTGCTTCAGCAATGTGGTGATGACAGCCAACGACGTGGCCGACGCGGTGTCTGCCATGCTTGAAGCCCACGAAGGTTGCGACGACGTAGTCGTCAATGACAGCAACGACAACAATGGCGACGACGATGACGACGACGATGACGGCGGCGGCGGCAGCGACAGTGACAGTGACGACGGTAGCGAGGGCGGTGACGACATCGACAACCGGCCGCCGGTGCTCAGGTGCTCGCATGACCGCGCAGACGACAATCGTGTGATCGAGCTCATGGACGACGTGGAACGCACGTGCGCCGGTCTGCTGTCCGAGTTCAGGGTGACGATTCGGCGGCCAGCGCCACACGCGTACGCCGTCTACCCGATGTCCCGGTGCGGGAGCGCGGCCTCCGTCACCGACTGGGACGACACGGCCACCACAGCAGACGCAGCTGCAGCCGTGGCCGCTGAGACACCCGAAGACCTGCTCGCCCTCACCGCGTCCGACTGTTCCGGACTGGGCCCGGCCGCGTACAAGCGGTTGGTGCCGGCGTGTCCCCGGTTGCGCCGGTTGACCATGAAGGCAGCGCGGCAAGTGGACGACGACGGGTTCGCGGCAGTAGCTGGGATGCATTCACTTCAACACCTCGACATGGAAGGCATGTCTGAAGTCACATCCGACGGCCTGCTCAGCGGTAAGTCATAATATATTTTATTTATTTATTAACTTATGTACGACGTACACTAATACACGCTGTTATGGTGGTGGTGACTGCTAGAAGAAGTAAAGTAGTGCGCCTCATCATCTGATAATTATTTTTTTATTATTTTATTGATCTTGCCACTAAATAATGGAAATTAACGGTTTGGTAGGTTTATTATGGTAGTGCAGGGTACTGTTGGTTGGGACATGTGTGTGTGTGTGGTAAGAATTTGTCACTACAATCTTGGGTGGTCACCCATCCGGGAACTAGTGACATTAGCTGATGCTCGCATTCAGAAACCAAACGTTACTGAATACCACCACCGTGCTACACTAGGCCACCATTTAATTAACTATTACGAGTCTCACAAACTTTCAACTAGTCTTTCTAGTCATATCATAATAATATTATGGTTTAGGATTGAAAACGTCGATGTTCTATACACAATATGATAAACCTACTCTACGAAGTAAGCTTGCAGGTAATTTTTATGCCTAGTTAGCAAAAGAATGTAAACGATGTGATATTATTATAACTAAGGGGGTGAATGTAGTAATAATCAAAGTAATTTGTGGTACGTATTAAATATTGACATACGTCAAAGGATAGTATGACGTAGGATGATCGCCAACAGTTTATTATATAAATAATGACTCTTACTTCTGAAAATAATCATAAAATGCATTTCGTATGAGCATGAGTAATTACGCAGTAGTTTTAGCAAGATAACGCAGCTATCTACCTGTATACATAATTATGTATGGGTGGGTCGAACATCATCCGATTAAATGCTAAGGAATATAATCATTTCACGTATGACTGTTGTACCGACAATTTACGTCATTTGATTATCATGGGGTTCTCCTGAGACCGAGTATTGACATAGGTGCCGATTATGGGTGGGGGGGATGATGGAACACTTACCTCCCTCTGGAAAAATAATATGTACTTTAAGCTTAATAAATATTACCATGATAATATTGACTAATTATCTAATCACCTTAATTAATTAATTAATTAATTAAATGTTAGTATTTAATATGTTATACAAATGTTAATTGTATTAATACATATTTTATATGTTGAGATAACATTATATAAACTTTTATTTAGCTTACATTTTATAATTATTTATTTCACTACTTTACCTAATCTGACCTACTTAAAATCAAATTTTATTCATAGTCCATTGTTATTGGACCTATAATTTACCTATGTATAGAAGATCCTTATGCTGCCCATATTCAGACATGACAATACACCAGGGGGCACTTCCACCTTAAATTAATTAATGTAAACTTTTTACGAATATTTTGTTAACATTTAATTTAAATTACTATTGGACTTAACTACTTAAGTCTCCCTTACAACTATACTAATCACTTCTTAGTCACTTCCCCAACGGTTGTCAGCACCTAAGTGTGGCTACTATGCGTTTATGACAAAACAATTTATTAAACTACGTTATCAAATACAGACGTTGCCGAAGTCAACGCGATTTAACGAGTTTGGATGAGTCATACAATTATGTTGGTTGGGCTAATTAGCCCAAAAGTTTAAGTGATTAGCTTGTACTAAAAATGATCGGTTCCTAACTGAATTCCCACCTACCTATTGGTACAAGAGTAGGTAGAAGGGGCATTGGACTTGTGTTCTTAACTTCTACGAGACTGCAAACAATTTGGGCTAATGTTGAGTGTCATGATGGTACCCGAATCGTAAACATGACATAAATATATGGTACCAAATAATGATACAAAACTTCTTTTTTTAAATTACCTTTAATAATATTATCGATATTAAATCGATTACAATATATTACACGATGCTGCAGGAGATAAAATAACCACGGTTGATTATAATAATTATTATTAAGCCCGCCTTAATTTTTCGAATTTACTATTCAAATAAACACCAGACTACCAGAGGCACTACGACGCCCTATAAGCGAAACGGTTATTAATATTTAAATTTTGTTAATTGCATTTTAACTCGTAATCCACTGGCGTCCGAAATTAAAACGGAATAAATAAATTTAAATATATTTAGTCGGTGAACGAATCGTAGAATTTATTGGTGTTTTACAATACGATGTTTTTCGAACGATTTCTGAATAATAATGATAATAATTATTTTATTATTACCCACCGCCGCCGCGAGAGACCGAGACGCGCGATTGTCTGCACTCAGTTTTTGCCCTGGACCTGTCGAAGTCATTGTGTTACGATTATATTTTTATCATACATAAATCAATATTAGTCGAGTTGTTATAAGCCACCCGACTATTGAAAATCGGATTATATCAATAAATATAATATACATTTATCACGCGTATAGTCGTCCTGCAACGGCAAGTCGTATGATAATAATATTATTATTGATCTATTATTATTATAGTTATTATTATTATTATACCCGAAACCAGGGTATTGTGGTACCGTAACCAGGTATTGTGACACGCCGAAAGCGAAACGGTATAGATATAACATTATATATTTAGCAAACTCATAGAATCGCGGGGTTCGCAAATATCAAGCGAACCGATAAATAATTATTAGCATGGTAAAATAATAGTGTAACACACTGTAGTGTCGCGCGAGATTTTTGTCGGGTAAAACGTTAGGGTCTCTCGTGTTTATTTATGCACAACAACCATAATGATGATGATGATGATAATAATAATAATAATAATAGTTGTAACATTATTCTATAACACGCCTAACGATAGAGCAAACCGTTGTTCCTTTGTCGCCAGTAGAATAACCTTGGGTTCGGGGGGCAAGACAGACATTTTTAAGTTAATGTTGATAAAAAATTTGTTCGCTCTGTCAAAAAGTTTGTAAATGTAATACAAGGTTCCTCATAATTTTTTGTTAGTGGAAATTAAAAAAAAAAATTGAGCTTAAATCCACAATAATTTTTTATGAGCGTTTGAACTTAGAATTTTGACAGAACTCGTAAAAATCATGAAATTTTTTTGAGTTAGAAATCCATAAAAAATTTTATTTTTATATCTAAGGTTTAAAAATGTAATACAAGATTCCTTATAATTTTGTCTAGCTTCATCAAAAAAAAAAATGTCTATTGGAAAGTCAAATTAAATTTGTTTAAGCCTTTGAAGTTGAAATGTTTACAACATTGAATGTTCACTCGATTTCACATGAAGAGATTTTCTTATTTTGTTGTAATTTAAAAACGAATTACTGTAGATATTTAAAATTTACACCATAATATGTTACGTAACATAACGCTGAGAATCGTTTTTCATATTCAATGACATCATATCATTGAACTCAAATTTAATACCATCCATTACAGCGACCTACTAGACACCTTGTGTACAGCAGAGAGACGTTCACTTACCCGCTTTTTTGGATTGTATTTGTATAGAGTTTTAAAATATTTAAAAATACGTTTTACTTTTAGTTTGATGACTTATAATTTATCATCACAAAATAACTATTAAATGACTTGTGTCTTTTATTTCATTCGAATTGAAACCATTCGCTATTGTAAAATACTATAATATTGTGACTTATGAATTAGTATAACTAAATGTAACAATATAAACATTTGTTTTTGTTCAACGAAATCTATTGTGACTATTCACATATTATCACCAGAGTTCACTAAAATCCTTATAGCAATCTACAAATACACGAGGCAAAGAATCACAATATGTAAATAACATTCATACCATATTGGATCTGGAAGAAAATTTCCTACACAATTATTGAATATGCAAAGTCCAATAAATATGCCAAAATTTGAGTAGTGTCCTTTTGCTGTAAACGGTATTTACGGTATAGATTATGTTGTGAATTATGTTGTTTTACACTTTCCTCTTTCAAAAAAATAAAAAAATTGACCATTGAATCCTCACCCACCACATCGCTTAACGCACAATAATACCGTGCAAATTTTTTTTAGTAGAATAGATTGATCAAAAGTCGAACTAGTTGTTTACAGGCAGTAGTATATAGCATTTCCAGTAGAAGATATGTTTATTATATATATATATATATTATTATGGTGGGTGGTGAGCTAAATCAGGATTACGTAAAAAACAAAAACTACACAATTGAATAAAGGCCATCACGAATCGATTTCAACAAACCCGGAACCATACGAGCTGCACGTTACGACGAGTACATCCTTGTGTCCTTTTATATAGGTCGTATATATTTTGTATGCCTACAAGAAGGATGTATTTATATTCCGACTTCAAAGGAACGTAAAACTGCACAGGCGGTTGTCTTCCATATTCCTTTCACGAACACTATAGGAAGTACAATAGGCAACTATAATCTATATGTTTACAACATTATTATATATATTACTGTATGTAATATCCGTCTCGAACAATAAGAATCGATTTTTGAAGCACTGTATAATATTATAATAATATATTACAAACAATCATATGTTGAGTTTGTTTTATGTAATTTTCTCCGGATCAGGTAGGATATTATTATTATTATGATTTTTGTCCGTGGATGCTGACGACGTAGTTTATTTTCACAATGTTTTATACGATTATCATAATATATTATATTATTATTATACTCGATCGACGATCTCACGGTGAACAATGCAATTGGCTTCTGCTATTGTACGGAATCACTGTAGCTTAAGGTTATATACTTCGCATATAATACCTACCAGAGTCCGAAATATTATAATTTGTTTAGAACCATGTTATAGACTCTGAAATTATTCCTGTAAATGAAAAAAATAAGGAAATTTTTATAGGTTTATATTTGAAAAAAGTAGATACATCTATAAATGTACGTATCCAGTCATCAACTGGAATAGATAATTGCGAATTTTCTTATGCGCATATATAGAATATATTGTACAAAGTGATGTTTAAAATAACACTAATGAGTACCTTCTACCTACGTATTTTATGATACATACTAAACAATCAACTACTGTATATTATATTGTATATTTGATTTGTGAATAGTTTTTATGATTAAAATTGATCGGTTTAATCAACGTCTGACACACGCAATATCAATGTCTATACGTATAATTTTAATGATGCACGCGTTTCGTTTCAACAACGGTGTAGGTATTGCGAGATTTTTCTCTGACTTTTAGATTATAATATTTTAAGCCCCGCGGTTCAAGTCCGACAGTATCACGATATACCTCCATGATTTTCGCGTGTCCCTATAACAACAATAATAATGTATTGCAGGGCATTCCACAAAGAATGAACTGATTTTGAATAATTATGCATTTTTATCGACGAGAACTAATATTATACAAAAATGTATATGATTGCAGTACAGTACTCTAACAATTATTAACGGCATAGGTATTATAAATTGGAGTTTATTGCGATGTACTTATCGGATTAATATTAAGCGTCCAAGAAGTTACGTATCGGACTCGAAGTTTGATGCGAGTCCGGCAGTGGAGTACCCAGAATTTGTAAATGGGAGGTGGGGCCAAACAAATAAATTCAGAATGTGATATATGTTACCTTATACTAGGACGTTACTACTATATCCCGTAACCCTAATAACCTCTGCATAGATAATACGCAAAATGTTGCTCTAAAACCGTTTTCAGAAATATCATGGTCTGTACTCTGCTTTATATTTTTTATACGACTAAAACCATAACCAGGCCAGCGGGGGTTGAAAAAAAACAGTAATGTAGACTGTTTTAACGACAAAATACAATATTCTATACATCTTTATATCTTAAACTGCAACATAATATACATATATATTGAGTAAACAAAAAGCACCCTCTATGATGTTATGATTTAAGTACACTCGTTGCTATTCCATAGTAGTATAGGGTCTGCGGGTGCAACCATTTCGATATTCGTCGAATTGTTCTCCTTGAAAATCTTGAATGTCAATAATATTATGTTAAACACATTGTCGATGGAAATTACAATATTTTGTTTGGTTTTTGACCACAGGTCTCGTGAGCGCCACCGGACTGCAATCACTGGGCCTGGCCGACTGCCCTTACGTGACGGACGATGTCCTGCGCCGGATCGGCGAGATAAGGCAGCTGCGCAACCTTCGGCTGGACCTGACCTACTGTGACAAGACGACGGCGGCCGGGGTGACAGACATGCTGTCCGGCTGCGAACGACTCCGCGATCTGGACCTGACGCTGCCGCTGAATGCCGACTACGTGGCCGCGGCCGCGTCTGCAAGCCACCTGGACCAGCTCCGGACGTTCCGGCTGACGTTCGAGAGGCTATCTTTTCAAGACCACCTGGACGACCAGCCGACCGACGCTGACTGGCAACGGTCGCTGGCCGCCGGTTTTCGAGACGACGTCGAGTTCAGCGTCCGGCAAACGTTCACCAAGATCACCGTGACGGTCGACTGACCGGTTGTGAGCACCAGATGATCACAGTGACAGTGACAGCATCACCATCGTTTGTTCACGCCCACCATTTACCTCTTCACCATCTAGTGAGGTGATCGGCGTGCGAGTAACACACAAAGTCCGACTGAGTATTGGTACCGGTAAAGAACGAAAACGGTTTCAGATACCATAATTAATACCATCGTGTACCGGATTAGGGTCATGAAGACTGGGTGAAATGAGATTGGTGTGCAGCAGGGTATACTTTAACTTTCTGATTTTTGTAATTAATTAAAATATTAAAATATATTTTTAAAAAATGTATGCAAATAATGTAAATATACATAAGACATACAATATTTGCTACAAAGAAGAAAAAGCTATGTGGAGCTGAAAAAAAATTGGCCTGCAATTGCACACGTTGGCACCTCTTTTGCAAAAAAACTCAAATGGAGTCACAGATTCTGAGAACTGCCTGAGATAAGGTTACGATGGTTGGGTGGCAATGATGAGAAAACTTCCATCCGTTTATGTACCCATCACCCAAAAGACTGTCATCAACCGATAAATGGTTCATCGAGTTTGATCGACATCGATGTCGATTGTCACGCACGTCCGGTTCCGATTTATTGTATAGTGCTCGTCCTACCGATTTGCGAGATCGATCGGAACGGCGACACACGTGATTTAAATGCTGTCGCACACACCGGAAGTGCACTATACGGTCTTGAACTAAATTGTAACTTGTAAATAATACACACTCATTATTACTCAATACATTAATACACATAATATATAATATTGTTATTGTTATCGCATATCCATATTTTATTATATTATAATTCATATATCCACTCCTATACATATTTTAATAATTTATAATATTGTTGTCTAGTTATTATTATTGATTTTATACTATTTATAATATACCTATCGAAACTAGTCAAAATTAGTTGTTATAAATATCATGTTTTGTTGAACTTGTATTATTTTTTCATTCTAAAATTGTAAATATTATAGCGTTAATGCGTGGTTTTTTTTTTTTTGTACTGAAATATAATATTTTGATTCCTGTAAAACCACATGTTGTTCCATTAACGCCGGCTGATCACCCGGCGATTCAATAATAATGGTAATCATAATAATATATACCTACTCATATTATGGACTATGGTTGAAATTTTCTCGTATCACGAGATTACCATTTGTACTCCAAAACTACGGACAAGTCTAATACCTAAGACTTCATCGTTGGTATACGACGAGTGCAATGACTATTATATAATCAAATACAGTAGTATACAAGTTAATACAGAAACTAGTAACTAAATCTCTATGGTCCTCCGTTATTACCATTTATAATTTTATTAATCACAGTCTGGTATTAAGAATACGCTTACAAGTTTCATAAAAGTTTGGCTTAAAAAAAAACATATATCGTATTTTGATTTTTTATCTCGTTTCAATTCGTGTGAATTTTTTATGATCATATATCATACCATATTATTTTGATGTAAACTGTTTGTTTAGTACAAACTTAATTTGCTGAACATGTTATGGATGGGTTTTGTATTAATCGCATTGTTCCTAAATACCTAATGTTATACTTCATTATAATACCATGTAGAGTTGGCCACCAACAACACGATGTCCTTGGGCTCATAGCGTCGATGGGCATTTATCAAAAAATAGACATGTATGACATATACCAAAATTAATATTATAAACTTTGTCCTCTCCTGTCGTACCGGACGCAATATTGTCGGTCAGATATTTGCTGCGACCAGCAACGTCGCTATAGCTACATTTCGCTGCACGGCCGGCCGAATTCGTTTTCCGGTTAAGTCGACTCGATTTTCAAGCCATCCCTTTTCGACTTCACTTCCGCCCGAACGACAGTTATTCCAAATGCTTGTTAGTTTAGTACTCGCAAACACAACCATCAAGTAAATAATGCATTACGGGTTATGCCAGGGGCTGCAGCCTAATGTAAGGATTTGTCGGTGAAAGTCACAAATTACAAATAAGGGCTTTGGACAATGTTAAAATATTATAAATTTGGCCACAATACAAACAGCCAATATTTTTGAAAAAACATCACGGATAGATATTGGCTAATTTGTATAAAAAGTTAGTAGTGCAAATGGATTAAAAGAGGTAACAATATTTTTATATTTTTACAGATATATTATGTAAATACTAACAACCAAATCATCTCAGTAAGTATACGATTAACAACGAACAAACATTTTATAATACATTTGCAGTGGTGTATTTAGGTTTTGGTCATAGAGGATATGATTTTTTCCAGTACTTATAACAACTCGAGGAGGGCTGTGCCTCCTCACTCTCTAAGTTTCCTCGAATTATAATAACTTATTAACATTAAACATACAATTTATACTGCCAAAATTATACTATATAACACGTTACTTGAGATTAAATGTTTTATTAAAACAAAAATAAATATATATTACGAATTATACATTACAATACAAAATCGAATTTTCTCTATGTCATAATCAATTAAAATATTTTATTCAGTCTTCGTGTCCAGAATTGTATCTTGGTGTTGAAGCATTAACATATTGTCATTGAAATATTTAGTTATTTTTGAAAGTTTCGTGGTTTAATTACTAATACTTTATTAAAATTCGTCATAAAGTTTTCAGAATGTAGATTAAAATATGAAAAGTGCAAATCGTAGAACAAATATCATTAGATAATGTTAAAAAGCTTGTGATATTGTGATAACATGTCTGTCAGTGATTAATGATTATTGGTAATCTACTAGTGATTGACGATTATCGTCGATAATACTGCGTATAGACCCAGACGTCTGATCACTGACCAGCGAGGCAGCGACCAGTGATACCAAAGTGAATATACAATACAAAATATTTTAATTCTTGGAAATCTAATCAATTATCAACGAAAAAAATGTTATAGTTTAAATATAATGACAACTGTAATATTATCCACATGTATCCAGCCTATGGGGGATTGATCCCTTTCATCCGCTGTAAATATGTCACTGTAGTGTGTCCAGCGGTTTGTTTACTTATATCAAGGAAATCATATTTATTCTAGTCTTACATAGCATTTTTTGTCAGAGATATTTATATTATTATTTACATAATGATACATAATAATTAATACTATAGACAATATAAAATATATATTAATTATTATGAGAAGATATTTAAATGACTTAAATATCATAATCGGTAGTATACAAAAGATAAAACTAATAACATTTGTAGGCATATTTAAATAATACAAACAATAATTTAAAAAAAATGAATAACCCACAATCATTAAAATATTGGTGAGGTAGCTTATGATTTAATTTTTATCGAAGAAAATTTGGTAAAAGTTGTTAGGTTTCTCGAATTGTGCAAGAATTTATTTTTAAAAATAGATAAGAGTGGTTAATAAATAATAAGCAAAGAATGTATTAATTTGTATAAGAGAGCAAACACGAACGTCTGTCATTATATGGATATAAATTTAGAAAATGGTGCACATTTTGGCATATGACCCATGGATGAGTCTGAGAATATTAAATTTAAATGAGATAAAGTAAAAAATTTTTTTTGTACTGATTCGATGGCTTCATCTTTCTGGGATGTATTATCAATTCAATTCAACAACAAATATTATACATTGTAGTGAACCTCTCGTTCAGTAGATAGTTTTTAAAGCTATTTTTCCATTAAATGAATTACACGTTCTTTCAATAAAACCTTAGTGGCTCATTGTTTTACTTCTTATCGTTTCAGTATGATTGGAAAAATTTAAGTTAGAAATTACATCAAAATATTTGAATAAGTAGCATACCAAAATTTAATCCAGAGATGGAGTTGTTAAAATTAATTGGGATTTTTATTTAGGTGTAGTGCATGAATTTACATTTATCAATATTTAGATTTATGCAGTTATATTAGTGAACCATTCCCCAAGGCTAAATATATCCTTTTGAAGATTAATTGCATCTTTATTTGTTCTTACTATGTTTACAAGCGCCAGCGAACAAGAACAGTTGGGAGCATTGGATGGCATGAGGGAGATCATTTATATAAATATTAAACAGAGGAGTGTGGATAAATGATCACCTTGGGGTACACCTGAGGGGACATTGAATCGAGTGGATTTGAAATTTCAGTATTTAATTATGATATGATGATGCGAAAGAAAATAACAAAACCACAATAACAAAGGACCAGTAAAGAGTTACTGTAGTTTTTCAAATAAAATTTAGAGATCGATGTTATTGAAAGCTTAGGCGAAGTCAGTATGTTCGTTTGATCGTAGTTGCTGTCATGGGATTATACAATTATATTTTCAACTAAAGATCATTTATTACAAGAAGATCACATTGGACTAAATCCACATTGACTATTAGAAAGGAACATAGGTATAATAATAATATTCTGTTATTTGTATAAGTATTTTTTACATAGTGAACGATATACAATTTGAATCACGCGTTCAATTATTTGTTCATAAATGATTTGTTAACTATTCACATTACATAAAATGTTTAATACATTGTAAGTAATGTAAACGGTTTGTCTACGTTTCTATAATTTAAATTTAAATACGTGTTATAATCACATATCGTGTATATTATATTATATTAGCTGTATCATTGCTAAGTGCTAACTTATTGTCATTATACATCGAAAATAATAATTTGCACATCAATAGTTGTAAACAACCAAATATACGAAAGTAAACAATCAGCTGTGGCTACTATTATAGTACAGCAGGGCAACTGCAGCAACGGAAGGAACTCAACAAAATATATAAATTGTATACCTAATTTAGTGAAATAATGAATTATCTTACATTTATGAATTTCATAACATGTACGTTTGGATTTGATTAGCCCATAGTAAATTATAATAGTGCCACTGATTAAAATAATTTAAAAGAGGAATTACGAATAAAATTATTAATTATTTATTAGTTCGTAATAAGTTATAATATCAATCATATAGGACACAGGCAGTAGATTTTAATATTTTGTGTGATTGAGAGTGAGTATATTATTTATTATATCGACTTTAATCATGACGGGAAGATGAGGTTTCACTGCAGTTATGATTGTACACCATACATTTAAAGTGCAATATTTTGAAAACTTTAGCTTCGAAGGCAAATCAGAAAGTCACTCTGCTGTAGAGTAATTGCCCAGTGTGCTTTGAGTAGGTCTAAGTTATGGAATATTTAAATTTGAATTCAAAGATGAATAATTGTATACGAATATGATGGAATGATGGAAGTTTCTGAACAGAGAGGTTGCCTCTTACTAGCATAAATTTCAAAGGATATTTTAATATATTATATTAATTTGTTATTAGTAATTAATTTTTACATAAGCGATATCAGTACATCACTATACACACCAAAATATATTGTTTTCGTATAACAAAATATGTACATCATTGCAACATGTCTTCAACGCCTTGTCATAATCTTGAATTAAATAATGCATGGCTGATAAAAAAAAATAACTATTTAATTTCTAAGGTTTGGTTGATGTCAGTCCGATTGTTATAAATCATAAAGTTCAAGTACCAATTACTTTTTTTTAATACTCATTTAAAAATTGCATTTGTTAACAATGAATATACAATAGTATGACAATCCCAGATAATGAAAATTTAGACAAATATAATATATAATATATGAACATAAATTTAGAAAACTGAATATTTTAAAAATATAATTTAGTGTGTACACAGTGATTCACCCTTATTGTTTCCTT